TCTTATGTGTTCATAAAAGTATGTAATAGGGGAAATAGTTAAGAGAATTGTATTATAAGTGAGGAAGGGTAAAAGAATGTAAAGGAAAGTAATGTTATTACACTTTATTCAAAGGAAATAAAGAAAGCATAGAACTGGGCCCTACAAATATTACATAAATTTATTTTATAATTTTAAAACTCCCAAGAAAGACTCTCCAGTTACAGATAATTTCACTGAAGAATTAGAAGATACATTTAAGGGATGAGGATTTAGCTCAGTGGTGCCGCGCCTGCCTCGCAAGTGCAAGGTCCTGAGTTTGATCCCTGGTACTGAAAAAAAAAAAAAAAAAAAGGAAATTAGAAGATATATTTAAAACATGCCAGTTCTACATAATTTATTCCAGGAAATATAAGGAAAGAAAACACTTTCTAAATCATCTTATGAAGTTAATATTATCCTGATATCAAAATCTGACAAAAACAGTACCAAAGAAAGGAAGAAAATTTTAGATCAATATTTCTCATTAAAGATAAAAAAAATCCTTAACAAAATATGAACAGACTTCAATATGCAAAATAAAGTATACACCATGATCAAACAGTATTTTCCTGGACATGCAAGTCTGGTTTAATATTTGAAATGGGGTCACTGATACATTGCTGGTAAGAATGTAAAATGGCACAGCCACTTTGGAAAACTTTGTCATTTTCTTAAAGAATTAAACAAGGGCTGGGCATAGTGCTGCACATTTGTAATCGCAGCACTCCGCAAGCCTGAGACAGGAGTATCTCAAGTTAGTGATACAGAGTGGGACTGTCTCAAAATAAAAAATAAAAAGAGACTGAGATATAGCTTAGAGCAAAGGCCCTGGGGTTAATCCCCAGCACTGCAATCAATCAAGCAAGTGATTATCATGTGATCTAACAATTCCAATCCTGGACACTTACCTAGGAGAAATGAAAGCTTATGTTCACACATAAATCTGTATTTGTAATTGCCCACAATTGAAAGCAATCCAGGTGTTCTTCAATGAGTGAGTGGTTAAACTGTGGTACATTCATACCATGGAATACTACTCAGCAGCAAAAAAGGAAAAACTATTGATCTAGAACCTCTTTGATGAAAATCTAGAGAACTATGCTCTGTGAGAAAGTCAATCTCCAAAGATATGACATATATGACATGATTCCATTTATTATAGTATTTCTGAAATGATAAAATTATAGAAATAGAGACAAGATTTTTGGTTTTCAGGGATCAAGGAAGGGGTAGGATTGGAAGCAAAATGGATATATTTATAAAGGAGCAATATGAGTGATTTTTGTTGCAATGAAAACCAATAAGCTGGTTGTGATATTGTATTCTAAATTTGTTAAATGTTACCAGTGGAGTAATTTAGATAAAGGGTGCATGGGATCTTTCAATATTATATTTTATAATTGCATGTGATTCCACAATCATCTCAAATGAAAAATTTAATTAAAAGAAACAATGATTACATAAGAAAACTATCAAAAAACTTTATGCAAGTTCATTAAAAGTATCAAGTTCTTAAAAATAAGTAACAAGATAGGTGTGAGAACACTTTAAGACTATAAAAATTTACTAATAGAAATTAAAGACTTTAAATAAATGTCTTTTTCAGTGTTGCTAGATTGCAAGACTCATAGATTACATGTGAATTCTCTGTGAATGCATCTATAAATTGAGTGCAATCACAATAAAAATCTCAACACTTTAAAAAACATTTCACAAGCTGATTCTAACATTTATATAAAGGTACATGTGCTGAAAAATAACCAATACACCGCTGACAAAGAACCAGCTTGGAGGAAGTACTGCTGTAGATATCACAATTTATAATCAATAAGGCAACATGGTATGTGGATAAGGATAGATGAATAAACCCTTGAAGGAGACTGAGAGCCCAAGCACCAATCTGTACAAATATCATCATGTGATTTATGTAAAAGAGGGCTCTACAGAACATTGGTAAGAGGGACAGTCTTGTCAACACTGGGCAATTAGGTGTCCACATGGGGAAGTTTTAAATTGGAGTATTACCTCATACCCTACACAGGACTGAATCTAAATGGATTGATATTAGTCAATATATGAAAAGAAAAACAACCAAATTTGTGGAAGATAATATAGAAAAATCTTACAGAAGACTATCTTTATGACTTTGAAAATGTTTCTGAAAATATCTTAAAGAAGAAATGCTAAACAAGAAAGCACCAACCATATATGAAAAGATCAAAACAACTGGCTATTGTAAAATTAAAACTTTGGTTTATCAAAAGACACTATAAAATGTGAAACAATACAGAGGAAAAAAATATTCTCAAGACATTCAACTGACAGAGGACTTGGATCCATCCAGTAAGGGGAAAGGATTTTGACATCTCTTACAACTGGTTAATAAATATATTTAAAAGGCACTCATTGCATTCGTAAACAAGGACAAATTAAGACTACATTGGGAAACCACTACAAAAGCATCAGTTTGGCAAAAATCAAGAAGTATGACAATACAATGTGCTTGTAAGGATATGAAGTCATGGAAACTTACACGCTGCTTATAGGAATGTAAATATAGTAGTATTAGAAATAACTAGGTTAAAATGTAAAAAATAACAATAATAAATTGAAGATAGGCATTTTTTGTTGTAGTTGTTTTGTTTTGTGGTACTGAGGATTGAACCACAGCCTCACACATTCTAGGCAAGCACTCTACCACAGCTACACTCCTGTAACTGTATTTTGAGACATGGTCTCACTAAGTTGCCCAGGCTAACCTCAAACTTGGGATCCTTCTGCCTTGGCCTTCTGAGTAGCTAGGATTATAGACATGCATCCCCTTCATACTCAGCAAGATATGTATGTTCTACAAGTCAGCAATTTCACTTCTAAATATCTACCCTAGAGAAATGTATGAACATATATATTAGAAAATGTGTAACAAAATGACCATGCTGAAATTATTAATCAAAATCAGCCCAAACTGGAATCAACCCAAAATATTCAATGACAGTAGAATGAGTGATTAAACTGTGGTAAATTTATATATTGAAATGCTACACAACAATGAAAATGAACAAACTGCAACTACACAAAACAACATGCCACAATGTTGAATGAAGGAACTAAGGAAAAAAAGAATTCACATGGCATTTAAAGTTCAAAGACCAAACTATTTTTTTTAAAGGATACTTATTTGGCAGAAAGGAGAAAAAGAAATGGTTACTGTAATAAGTCAGGATAATAATTATCTGTAGAGAAGGAAGGAATGGGTTGTAATTGGAAGAGACACATGAAGTAGACTTCGGGCTGCCAGTGATGTTCTTCTTTGATCTGTAGAATGACTACATATGCATTGCTCACTAATTATTCACCATATCATATCTATGTATTTTATGTGCTTTTCTGTGTTTTGTGTTTTTGAAAGTGAAAGTTTATACGCACGTAGTTTTAAAAATCAGGCAAATGTACACTGTAGGACTCTGGCTGGATTGATTTTATTTCAGGGCCAGCCATATGACCAAATCAGGCCAATGAAACACAAGTCATTTGCTGAGTTCTTGAGAAAACACTTTCACCTTTTCCACTGCTTTCCCATCCAAAAAGGTCTGGAGCTCTGATGATGGCAATTCCCCCTCCACTGGCTAGTCTAGTCCAGCCTAATGTGGTACAAGCCCATGGACTTAGTACAAAAATAATCAGTTGAACATCCACTTTATTCCCCACCTCTCGTGTCAGCCCTAAGGTAGATATAAGAGAAGGGAAAAAGACAGTCCTTTTGTTCAGTGACTTGACAGCCTAATTTTGGAGATAGCACTGAAACATGTGCCACAGGGCTGGAACGGCTGGGCAGGTCTGAAGAGCAGGTACATGACTGCTAAAGAAAGCACATTTAGGACCTAGGAAATTTCTGGTAGCCCAACCTTCTCAAATCCCTTCACAACTAGTCTATCAGAAAGGGGGTGTGCTTACCACACCAAAATACAGTCGCTTTTTTGTGTGCAATCCAAATTCACTAAAACAGGGAACGCAAGAGGAAGTGTTAGAAATCAGAAGCTAGGCATGGTGGTTCACACCTGTAATCTTAGCACTCTGGGAGGCTGAAGCAGAAGCATCTCAGGTTCAAGTCCAGCCTGGGCAATTTAGTGACTTAGTGAGATCCTATTTCAAAAAAGAGATGAGGATGTAGTTCGGTGTGAAGGCCCTGAGTTCAATCCCCAGTACCCTCCTCTAAGTCTCAGGTCCAGCAAAAATGAGTATACATGCTTTTAAAAATTTTTATCTTAGTACATGTTTGCAGTATATCCATTTTACAATCATCTTGGGAAGTTGGTACATGTACATAGAAATGAATATAAGTGTTGACCAAAAGATGCGAACTAGGATGATCAGAAGCACTATGTGTTAACAGCTCACCAATAGGCAACTAGCCCCCTGTCCATCAGCTGTAGAATCGCTAAGTTGCGTATCTGTCTACTCGATGGAATGCTACATGGCAAATAGAGTGAATGAAGTATTGCTAAATGTAAAAACATGGATGCTTTGGGAAAGAAGCCAAGGACAAAAGAGTAGATGAGTAGATACTATATGATTCCGTTTGTATCATGTGTAACATTTTAAACGAATTTGAACTTTTACGAGTGATGATAGTGAGAACCCGGGTTGGGAGAGTTCAGTGAGCGGAAGCGCCGTGAAGACCTCTGGGGTACGGGTAGTGTTTGGTGCCGCTCTGTTTTATGACGTGTGCACATTTTAGTGTGTAAATTATATTTCAATACAAAACTAAAACTACAAGACAGGTAAAACAAGTAAAAATTGGCTTCTGTATTAATTTCTACTTGTCCAGCATCTTACAAGTTGTAGAGCGTGCTCAAATAACCTTGTAAGGTATGAACTTCATCTGTGTCTTACAGATGTGGAAACCGAGTCAGGGTCAGAAGGACTAAATGACTAAATGTACGCGCTGTCACACGGTTGTCGAGGCGGACCCGGGGGAGTGGGGCTCAGCCCAGTCTGTGGCACGGGTCCCTGGGCCGGCTCTCCAGGGTCGGTGCGTAGCAGGCGCGGAGCCCGAGTGGGCGGCGGCAGCGGCTCGGGGCGCCCACGGCAGAGGCTCCTTCCGGGAACCGAGCTCTCGGGGGTGCGGCGCAGACCCAGGCCAGCCCTAGATACAGTTACCAGGCGCCAGCACAGGCCCGCAACGAATTCTCCGGGAGGTGGGCGTGCTGCAGGAGGAGAGATCTGACTCGCGACCCGATTCCTCCCGAGCATCTGTAGGGCAAATGAGGAGAGCAGCAGAGCCCAGGACGTGGGCCCGAGGACACGGACGTCCCCTACACCCCGTATCGTAAGGGTGTGTGTGTTGGGGTTCTTCATGCACCCTCCGCCGACTTCCTCGCCCCTCCTTTCACCCCAACTGGGCGCAGTGCGTACCAACCGTCGCTTAGCCCCCGCCCTGTGCTGGGAGCTCCTCGGTGCTTTCCGGAGCCAGAGGGGTTGGGGTTCCCAAGGTTTCCCCCTCCAGCGGCCCCGCCAGCCTTGGATTTCGCATCATCACAGCGACACCTGGTGACCGAGTATGGAAAGCCCGGGAGGCGGAGACCAGGACGGTTCCAACTCTGCCCTTTGCGAAGGCTTCCAGGACCCGGTGCCTCCGGGGCTGCCAATTCCACTTAGCCCTGAATCACATCCTGTCCTAGGTTGCTGTTTCTTGTGTAGTCATTTTAAATCACTTCACCCAGACCAAGGTTGTGAGGCCATTAAAAGCCCATCTTTTTAGGATCCTCTCATCTGACCTACTTGTTTTTTCAGATGCTGAAAGGCAGCGGGTGAGGAGTGAGGGAATTGTCCAGCCACTTAAAAATGAGGTTTGGACCGGAGCCTGGGTCTCCTGCGCATTCCCACCCCAGGGCTTTCTGTTGCACCATGCTGCTTCTGTGTGTCTCTGCCATGCTTGCGCTGATAGGGTGGCCAGACGGTAGGTCCTCCATAGATCGTGACTGCCTGGAAGGTCGTTTCCTTGCTTGTCCTGGAGTAAGTTTCCAATGGTCACCTGGACCATCTTTCCCCTGGGGCCTCATGGGAGGGAGTTCTGGTCATTAAAGCGGCACTCTCCTTCCAGTAGGACACTGTCCTTTCCGTTTATAAAGCACATCGTGTGGATTCAAGGGAAGAGGAAATGAAGATGAGATGCACAGCTTAAAAGTACCACCTTCTCCCTGAGAATCTTGGTAAAATACTTTAGTATAGTAGGTCTGGGGTGGGATCTGAGATTTCACATTTCTAACCAGCTTCTGGACGCTGCTCACGTTGTGAACTGCACCCCCCAACCCCCCAGACTGGGGCTTGAACTCAGGGCCTATGCACTGAAGCACATTTCCAGCTCCCCCTGCCTCCCTTTTGGGTTTTTGAGATAGGGTCTTGCTACATAGTTCAGGCTGGCCTTGATCTCACCATGGAGCACAGGGTGGCCTTGAATTTGCTATGATCCTCCTGCCTCAGCCTTCCAGAGTGCTGGAATTAAAGGCATGTGCCACAGTGCCCCAGTTGAATCGCACTTTGAAGAGCAAGGCTAACCACACCTGATTTAACTTCTGATAGGGCCAGGTGTCCAAGCTGAGCCCTTCCCTCCATCCCAGGCAACTGTGGAGGCCCCTCTGACCTTGGCGGTAGAGAAAAATGAAAGGCACTTAAGCACCTGTGAGCAGTGTGAGCCCTGGGGAGTCATTCCAAATCCCTTGCCTCACCCTCCAGCCCTGGGACACCCCTCCCAGAGATCCTGCCCTCAGGCCAACTACAGAAGGCAGGATTGAATGGGACCAAAACAGTGCAGAGAAAAGAGGAGACAGACTTGCTGTTGATGGGCCTCACAGTTTTCCTGAGCAACAACAGCCTTGTGTGGTAGCCAATGTATGTCCGGGTGCTAATGACATCCATATAAGCCACAGGGTTCTCTTTTTTAATTATAAAAACTTTTAATTTATATAGTTTAATTAAAATCTGTATTTATGGATTCTATATATTTTCATTTGTGTGATTCTTGTTCAATCACTAAATATACCACAAAAAATTTCACTAATGCAAAATTTGAAAAGAAGGAAATGGAACATTATGGGGCCTCTACTATGTGACCAGAACTGTGAGGAGCACTTTCTTGTCCCCCTTCAAAGAAAGGTGCTCTTACCTTGTTTTACAGATCAGGAGATGGAGGCCATGGAGTTTGGATACCAGGACCACCCAGCAGGGGCAGGAGTCCAGATATGTTTGATCAAAAAGTTTGTTAGTTGGGCTGCGCAAGCGCAATGACCCAAGTTCAATCCCCAGTACCAAAAAAAAAAAGTTTGTTAGTTGGGTGTGGTGGTGCATGGCTGTAATCCCAGCACTCGGGGAGACTGAGGTAGAAGGGTCACAAGTTTGAGCCCAGCCTGGGTAACTTTGTGACTTAGTGATAATAATAATAATGAAGGGCTGGGGACAAAGCTTAGTACAAAGGCTCCAGTTTCTATCCCCTGAAAAACAGTTTCTTTCCACTACAATAATAACACATGCTACCATTTGCATTGTGTTTACCAGACACTGCTCTAAGCAAATGTACTAATTTATATAATATTGACATCAATCTTATGTGGTGGATGGATACTGTAATCACCATGTCTTCCAGGTGAACAAACTGAGGCACAGAAAGGCCAAATGACTGGCCCAATATCACACAGCTAGTAAGTGATGAAGCTGAGATTTCAATCCAGGCAGCCTGGCTTCAGAGAACTACTCTCACACAACATGCAATAGTGCCTGTCAGTTTCCACTGATTTCTTCTTACAGTTGTGTAGAAATGACCTCCCTTCTACTTCTGTCATCCTTTTCTTGTTCAGTATGTGCTGTGTTGTCCTGGAAAATTCTTGTCTACCACATTAGTAAGCAACCACATTTCTATTTCCAACTAGGACTGCCTAGGTCTTTGGGCTCTTTATGTGTCTGGCAGAGGCTGGGGTGGGGGTGTGTGTGGGGGTTCTTCCTGGAGAAACTGCTTCCTCATTGGCTGGAATTTGAAGGAGTTAGTTTCAGAAGTTCTCATTCGCTGGTCACTCTCTTCCACTTTGGCTGGCTGGCCTAAGAAGGAGGTAGAAAAGATGAGGCTCTGGGCTGGGTGGGCAACTGAGCAGAGCTAGCCCTGTGGAGACCCCTTGACAGCCACCATCAAATTGAGTGTGCACACAGGGGCCTCTCCCTCCTGACTGGCTGGGAAGGTCTTGTTGGTCGGTATGGTTTTGTATCTTCGCACTGCCTACCTCCTGTCTGTTTTTCCTACCTGGAGGGCCCAGAAGTGTCCGTGGCTTCACATTTGTGTGCTCAGGAGTTGAAGCCCTGTGCATCTCTTCCAGCTCTCCCGATGCTTGTGGCACTGTGGGAAAGTTATTTAAACTTTAGTTTTCTCACCTGTAAAGTGGGAATAGTGAGAATGTACTTCAAAGCACTGCTGTGTAGGAAAAACATGTTTAAAGGAGCCTACCATAGGTCAATTAAAAGTAGCTATTTATTAATATATTTTATAAATATATGAATGAATGAGTTGAATGAGGAAGGTTGAAAAGGCCAATAAAGGAAGGTTGAAAGGGCAATCTGATTTCCCTAAAGCCTATAGACAACTTCCTTAAAAGTGCACATTTAGAAATTTTTTATTTTGAGTGAGAACTGGCTAAAAAGAGAAACTCATTGAAGGTTGTATGGGAAGACTCAAAGGACAAACTTCAACTTAATAGCTTTGCTGGGGACTAGGCTGATCTTGGCAGGTGAAGGTAGGAACAGCCTCCCAGATTTTCCTGTGTCCCAGACCTGATCCAGCTCAGAATTTAAACCCCAACTTTCCATTGGAGACTTTTGTGGCTGGATTTTTTGTTTTAGGAAGTGGGGGGTGGAGTGTGGAATATGATGCTTTCTGGGAATGGAACACAATAACTGATTTGTTGCTGCTTTTGAAGTAGAAAGTAAGTTTCCAAAGAATTTAAGGGTGAACCTCCCCATAAGAGACTTTTTTTTTTTTGAGGTGGAGAAACAAAGTCTGAAAGCAACAAATAGTTTTTCTTGTATGTGGGAAGATAATAGACTTTAAAATAATAAAAATTTAAAAAATTGGTCCTTTTTAAAGCTTGTGGTGTCTAATGAAAGGGGTATTGGTCTTGAAAACCAATTATTCTCTAAATCAACATACCTCTGGTTTACTGAGGGTAGTATCCCTACTTTTTTTTTTTTTTGGGTACCGGGGATTGAACTCGGGACCTTGGGCTTGCAAGGCAGGTGGCGGCACCACTGGGCTAAATCCCTGGCCCTGCCTACTTTTTAATAAATGGATTGTATTTGACTTGTAAAAGTAAAATAAAATACAATTAACATTGCCTGTATGCAGGCTGTAATGAGCACATGACTCATGAGTTTGAAAACTCCTCTGACCAGGTTTCTAATGTGATTACAGTGGGTCGTAAAAGTGGATGAGGGAAACTAGTTTCCCAAGTTAGGGTGTCTATTTACCATCTACTGGAATCTATGACACTTTGGAGTAAGACAGTAATCAGCCGGGAAGAAATGACTGGTGTTGACTCATGAATCCATGCAGTGCACTAATTACAGTGCCTCAGTTTCCCTATTTTATAAAATGAAGAAGTTGTCACCTGCCTGCCTCCCTGTCGTGTTTGGAAAGTCTGGGGAGATAATGGTCTTTGAGTGGTTTGAAAATACAGAATACATCATAAGTGCTAAATAATAATAATAACAATAATAATAGGGAGTCTTTAATAACAGGGGTCCTTTGATAATACTCATCAAGTATAATAACATTACAAACCAGTAGGAACAAGACAGAGGGCGTCTCTGTCTTCTTAATCATGAGTTTGTCTCATGGGAAACGGGTGGGGGATGGAGCTGCAGTGGGGCTGCTCGTGGTGTCCCGGGAGGCAGAGCCCCTCCCGCGACTCCGGCCGCTCGGGGACTCTGCAGCTGACCCTTGGGTGCGTCGGGAGAGGAGCGGACAGGAACGCCCTGGGGACCCAAGGAGAAGATTTTAGTATTCCAGTCGCTAGCTGACTGGGGAAGGACGCAGGAAAGCTGTGGGCATGCTGCTCTGGCGATGGGCCAGTGTGGCCAACCACTCCTGCCACGAGGTGGCGACAACCCGGCTGGAAACGCGGGCCGGGTGGCCCTGCGGTCTCGACCGCGGACACAAAGCAGCCTCCTGTGCCGCATCCCAGCCCGAGCCCCCGCGGCTCAGGGCCCCGCAGACGCCTCCGGGAAGCAACGTCCCGGGTGCTCTTGGTGGGGCCCGGGCCAGTGGGGTCCAAGGCGGGGCGCCCTGTGGGTGCTTTCGTTTCGGTTGCGTGTCGGAACCGCCACGCCCTCGAGAAGCCTGGCTTTGGAGCCGCGGATTCCCATCGCGCGGTTCCCAGTTCCCAGTGCGGTTAGGGTTAGGGCTCGTCCTGGGCTGCAGAGCTGGGCGCTGGCCAGCCCGGCCTGAATTGCTTTTCAATGTCCAACTCGGCCTGAGCCCAGCAAGCCGGGCCCACCCCTCCTCATCTGGCCTTGTCAAGCACTAGGGAGCAGGGGAGGGAAGCCCAGAGCCACTGGAACCTACATTTCAATTGGCCACTGATCTGGCCATCCTCCTGGAGTGTGAGGTAGGAGTAAGGGTAGAAAGAGAAGTCTGTAATCCCAGCTACTCGGGAGGCCGAAGCAGGAGAATCACAAATTTGAGGCCAGTCTGAGCAGTTTAGCAAGACCACGTGACCCTGTCTCAAAATAAAAATAGAAAGGGCTGGAGATTTAGCTCAATGTTAGGGCATTTGCTTAGTATATGCAAAAGCCCTGGGTACTGGCGCGGGGAGCGGATATAAAAGTAGAACGCATGGACTGAACATGTGCCAGATACAATTGCCTTATTTAAGCCTCACACGCCATTATTATCTCCATTTTATAGATGAGGAAACCAAGGCTTAGAGATGTTGAATCATTTGCCCAAGGCCATACAACTCTTACATAGTAGGGCTGGGATTTGAACACAGATCCACATCCAGCTTCACTTCCTCCTTAGGCAGCCCCTGCTTCCCCACTGTGAGACAGATGGATGAAGAATACAGAAATACTTGGTACTTGGAGTGAGCTTAACACCGTGATGGACAAACACGAGTTATTTGGGGCTCTTCTTGCCATTAAACACAAGTGGGATGGAGAACTGGACTGGTACAGCTTCCTTCAACCAACTTCCTTCCTTCAACCAACGTTTACAACTCATGTCACATACCTGGGACTTTTCTAGACACTGAGACCTCTCAGGAAATGGGACAGAACACTCTTACTAGCCATGTGAGCAGCGCAGTGGTTTAGTGAGGTAGTTAGGAAGCTACTGGTTCTCACCCTAGCCCACTGTGTGAGATGCTGAAAGCCCCAGTTGAGGAAGACTGAGGGTACTGCTTGCTGCTGGCTGGCTGTCCTTGTCACTTCCTAGGTCCTGGCCTCCAGCTCTCTTCAGTACTCCCTTACTGTGTCATCCTGTCCCCTCAGAAGGGTCAGCAGGGCACAGCTAGGCCTCCTCTGCAGCCTGAGCCTAGGAGACTCCTTCTCCGAGCTCCTAGGTTTTCATAATCCAACCTCTTCCTCTCGCTTTCCAGCTCTGGAGTGTGATGCTTTCTGTATTCCATTTTCTCCAGTCATGCAATACTTATAACCAGTGCTGTGTTAGTAAATATTTAACCAGTTCTCAGAAAAACCAGAAAGAAACCCAGTTTGTAATGTGTGCCAGCTTCCATATCAGTCATTCAGCAGGGACAATTTTAAACTACCTACGTGGTATCTTTGAACTTCACAAGTTGGTTCGAGCAGATCCAGGACAAAAATGCCTGCAACCACTCCCCTAAAACAATGATGGTGAACCTTTTAGAGATTGAGTGCGCA